GTCTATAGAAATTTCTTGTCTAGTGTGACCACGGCATAAATTATGATTAAAAATTTTCTTCAAATAGCTTTTCTTCAAATGCCCTGTTTTTAGATTTATTTGTATTTTTCAAATGACTAAGTCTGTAATGCTGTGATTCATATCTGGGCTGGTTGGTTTGGTTCATGGCTTAGAAAAGAGAACATTTATGGAAAAAATACTTCCTTTTCCAATACATTATAGTAGGTATTTTACTGCAGCAACACGGAAAACATTATGCAGCATAATTAAGATTCTTAAAATAAAGTGGAAAAACCCTCTTAGTCAGACAGGTCACCAATTGAGTCTCTTATATGCAATGATGGCAATGCAATAAAAAGTTAGAATGAGTCTGGAGTTGCCACAAGGATGTAATGGCCAGCAGCCAAACCAAACACAGAACAAAAGCACACACATACTGATTCTTGCCATGACTTTCTATTGCATCATCATTACAGTACATGCAAATCAGAGCAGTATTCAAATTCCTAATACATTTAATTTACTTATCTCACCTTAAAGGAACACGCCACTATTTTTTAAAATAGGCTCATTTTCCAACTCCCCTAAAGTTAAACAGTTGAGTTTTATTGTTTTCGAATCCATTCAGCCGATCTCCGGGTCTGGCGGTAGCACTTTTAGCTGCAGCTTAGCATAGATCATTGAATCTGATTAGACCGTTAGCATCTCGCTCAAAAATGACCAAAGAGTTTCAATATTTTTCCTATTTAAAACTTGACTATTCTGTAGTTACATCGTATAAAAAGACCAATGGAAAATTAAAAGTTGCGATTTTCTAGGCCGATATGACTAGGAACTATACTATCATTCCGGCGTAATAATCCAGGAACTTTGCTGCCGCACCATGGGTGCAGCAGGCGCAATGATATTATGCAGCGCCTGAAAATAGTCACCAGCTAGGTAACTTCCAATGGAAGACATGCTCCCTGTGCAAGCAGGTGGTCACGTTGGTTATGTTGGCGGAAGTTAGCCTATTTTCCGAAACTCTTTGGTCATTTTTGAGCGAGATGCTAACGGTCTAATCAGATTCAATGATCTATGCTAAGCTGCAGCTAAAAGTGCTACCGCCAGACCCGGAGATCAGCTGAATGGATTCGAAAATGGTAAAACTCAACTGTTTAACTCTAGGGGAGTTGTAAAATGAGCCTATTTTCAAAAATAGTGGAGTGTTCCTTTAAAACGCTTAACATACAGACACATTCAAACTTTGATTAGTGATAAAGTCGGTTTTATCTTTCTATCTAGATTCAAGCTTTTTACTTGGTAAATAATGTGTAGTTCACACTGTGTCTGACAAATTTTCAGCATGTACTGTATTCAATGAAGAAGTTCTGTAGATAAAGTACATTATTTATGAATGCAGGTGTTCTGTGGATACATTCCTGGACATATATCACTTTAAGAAAAAGGTACAAAAGCTGTCTCAAGCTGAGGTGGTACATTTTTTAAGAAGTACAACTCTGTACATTATTTATCCCTAAGGGGGTATATTGGTACCTTAAAGGTACATACTAGTACCTAAAGTGTACATATGAGTACCAAAATCATACATATCAGTACCCTTTGAAAGGGTACAGCAGCAGTGACAGCTTTTGTACCTTTTTCCTTTGAATGTTTACTGCAGATGGATTCAGGCTTGCCAGGTCTGTGAAACAAAACCAGCCCAAACGGACCCTTTTTACAAGACTGTGATGACACATTTCAACGGTCATCAACAACGTAAATCCTCTAAATGTTTTAATATTTAGATTTTTTTTTTAAATGTATGTACATTTATAACACTATACTTTTTATTATATCAAATTTGTATCAAATTACGGGAAAAGTACCGTATTGGCCCGCATATAAGACGACCCTGATTATAAGACGACCCCCCTTTTTCCAGATGTACCTTTTGGGAAAAGGCTTTTTAAAAACCAAATCTTGTTTTTTCTCAGTAAAACACATTTTGTCTTCAACTATTTTCATATTGCATATTTTTTCTATTTAAATTTTTGTTTTGAAAGTATGGTAAATATTAACAGTAGAAGTTAAATCTTACTGTAGTCTTCAAATCTGGGTACTGTCTTACGTTTTAAAATCACAAAGGGAGTTCGGTCCCATCAGGCTAACGTGACACTCACGACTCATGCAGCTGTAAGCTTTTCTTTTTCTTTTGTTTTTACTCGTGATCTTTACAACACGCATTACATTACATATTTCATGGTACACTCGTTTTATGAGTATTTGGCACCACCTATTGTTGTGGGTGTATTATTGACATATCAAAGTCTAGACCCTGAATATAAGACGACCGCGTTTTTTCAGATGTATTTCCAAGAAAAAAAAAAAACATCATCTTATATTCGGGTCAATACGGTAGTTAACGCTAATGCGAGGGTGTTTCTATGGGAGGGACGGTAAATTTGTCATCTTTCTCCCTTGACTGCCGTTATCAGTCTCTGTCAAATTTTTTTTTCTTTTGATTGAAAGTCGTGAAAACAGTATTGCGGAGATTTTCTTTTGCTATTTGAGCAAATGGGAATGCAAAAAATATATATTTGTGGTACTCTCCCATTCACTGCTCTCGAAGTTAACCCAATACGACGACTTCCGCTGCTGAAAAACCCGGAAATGTGTAAAAGGACTATTGCTAATCAAAACTAGGCCAATCACGGTTTTCCCTTGCGTCAAAATAGCATTTCGCTCAAACCCGTGGACTACAAAACAACCCACAGCAACAGTGTAAAAGTAGCAAAATGGCAACAGTGGATGGATTGTGGATTAAAAACATATAAATTCATATGAGGCACTTTTTTATTTAATTTAATTAATTTACTTTTTATGTAGAAAAAGTATGCATATTCTACAGCGGGAAAAGAACCTTCAGCGATGATGTCACTGCATTTGCATGGTGATTGGTTAATTCTGCCATACTGACTTCTGATTGGTGTTTTTTTTTTCTTTAATCTAATTAACTTAACATGGCAACGCCATATCATGTTTTATTTTTGCTGCAGTATTTAAAGCCTAAAACTAAATCAACTTTAACACTATTCTTTACCAGACATTGATTTTCTTTCAGAAAATGTACATATGGTCAGTATTGGGGAAAGTTACTTTTAAAAGTAATGCGTTACAATATTGCGTTACTCCATAAAAAAGTAACTAATTACGTTACTTAGTTACTTTTTATGGAAAGTAATGCGTTACGATACTTCTGCGTTACTTTTTAAATCTGGACAGGGCTTGCTTGTTTGATTTTAAAATAAAAAAGTTCTATTTTTGGCAAATATAAAAGCCTTTTCACACCAAAAGTGAAATGAATACGCCTCAGGCTGAAGGGAAAGTACATTAGAATGCAGAAGAAGAAATTTCAACACACTTCAGCAATAAACAAAGACACACAAATGTTTGTCTAGACTCTAGAGTAATTTGTGCTTATTAATACGGTTGAACTGGATCATCGAAGGTCAGAAGCAAAGACATTGGTTAATAGAACGGGATTAAATACATAAAGCATATGTGTGTTGTTTAACATTTAATTATTGCAGGTTTGCATCATATTCTGAGTTGCATTATTTTTATTCATTTTGAGGAATACTGAATCTGTGTATTTTTGTGTGTGAGCGAGATGAATTAATGCATATTCATATTTATTTTAGAACTACAGTAACATCTGATTTCTCTCAACATGGGGACAGGAGAGCTGTCAGTCAATAAATTGGAAAAAACTTATTTGAAAAAGTAACTTGTAAATTAAAAAGTAATGCGTTACTTTACTCGTTACTTGAAAAAAGTAATCTGATTACGTAACTTGCGTTACTTGTAATATATTACCCCCAACACTGCATATGGTTTTATCTATTAGAGCCAAAACGTCATTTACAGTCGCATTTCATTTACCTGAATACATGATAAATCAGTTTGAGTCTCATACTTACTGTAATTCTCCACACACATTTGGTATTCGGCGGATAGACGCCCGGATAACCCTGACTACCAATAACACCCGACTGTCCTGTGATATTCCCACCACACGGGAAGGTCTGTCTAGACAAGAGAAAGAAAAATAAATACCTGCATCGATGCCGCATTCATTTCTACAGTAAAGCCTCAAATGCTCATTATGAATTATACAACTTCTATGAATGCACCACGACGCTGTTATGTGTGAGGTCCGCTGCGCCGCGAGCTGTGTGAACATACATGAGTTTTCAGTGCGCGGGCATCATTCATGACTGAAGAAGAAACTTAACGTTACCTGTTCGGAGTCTGAGCTCGCACATGCAGTATGAGCAGCAGAGCCCAGGCGAGCAGGACACCGCAGATCTTCCACATTGTAAGAGCTGACAGTGGATCGGATCAGACGGCGTGCGTGTCTGCGTCCAGCTGCATTAATGATATTATCCGTCTGTCCTGAAGCCGCTCGGATGAATATAGCGTTTGTTCTGCTCTGTAGGAGGGAGCAGCACCACAGCTGCCTCTTTCCAAACCTGTGATCAAAGACATGCAGAGACACAGAGAGAGAGACACACAGAGAGAGAGAGGGAGAGAGAC